GCTCGGCATGGCGGCCCGGACGGCGCGACAGGACAGTTAGGCTGTTAGGCATAAGCATTATATCGCACAGCTACTCAATCCTGGCCCTTTCATAATATCCGTATTAGAAGGAAACTTCCTGGCAAATTGGAGCAATGTTAATAACAAACGTTTTGATATTAGTGTGGGTTGAATAGTAGCGAGCATGGTATAGCTCAATGAAGATAGACAGTAACCAGGTGACCACTGCTCAGAACTGAGATGACACCTGACCCTTGTTCTTGACGCGAACAACGTCAACGATTAACTAGAAGTCTTGTTCTCGAGGAGAACGTCCGTTCCGCGCGTCTGTCCAGACTAGACAACTCCGCCCACTTCGCGCGCGGCACAGCCCACTTCGGTCTCCAGATGCTATTACCGTACCATTAAGGGTTATTTGCACTAGCCCGTGTTATCTTCTCTTTAAGCTGACCGGACTCTTCTCGTATGAGCGTAGCCCACCCGCCTCTCCAGACTAGAACTTCCCTGTCGAGGTCTTTCCTCTTTTCAGAGATGTATTTAAAATAAGCAAATTACAAGCCGTTTATTGTTACATCAACTAGTATTCCTAGGATTACAAATACAATAAATTATGTACAATATGCGCGAAAAGCTAACAACCGGATGAGGCCATTTATGCTTTAGTTCCAGGTGCGGGTGAAGATTGGCGACGATGCCTGCCTTCGAAGCTGTCGTCGTGCTCACTATTATATTAATGTCCTTTTAGACCTACAAGTTCAAAAGTGGATCTGCACATATAACAAAACAACTAATCCCTCAAATCACCTCGACGACAGTCTTCGAACGCTCTCATGAAAGCAGCGGTCCCGCCGAGTTCATGCATATACGTAGGGAGCGTGTATAATTACATCGTCCAATACAGGTCCCAGAAGCTCTGCCCGTACGACTACTGCTTTCAAGAAGGCCCAAAAGGAGATATAAACATAGGGAATGAAAGGGTCAGTGTTTAAAAATAATTAATCGAGTAGCGGAAGCAACGAGGAAGACAGTATTTAGTGGATAAGTGCTCGCATTCGAGAGAATCACAGATCACGGTTAGAACAAAAGCACTTCCATGTCATTTAATCGCCTCTTTCAGAAGGTACCATCTTCAAATTTACTCCGAGTTATGAACCCATCATTAGGCACTCACTGGGCAAGAATTGAAGAGATCCTAAGCAGCAATTTGTATATTTAGGAGAAGGGCGATGAAATACCATAGAAGCACTAGAGTGAGTACACAGGTGCCTGAGCTATGAAGTGACATCACTGGTTGGACCAGGGTTATCTTCTTGCGCTGCAGCACCGTTCGATTGCCCATTTGATCGGCTTAACAGCTCCTGAAATATCAAGCCTGAGCTCATCCTATTGATAAGCTCGATCCTGATAATCACTGAAAGCAAAAGTAGGAAGCGTAGTTGTCATGCAACTCATTTGCTGCAGCCTACTATTCGCTTAAACAAAGGATTTCGTTATTCGAGTTTTATTCTGGAATTTCTCAAGCTTTGTTGAGGATGTGCTGTAGCCTTCCTCACGACTAATGCTAACCAAACCTGAGCACGTAATACGGGGTCAGCCCAAAGCTCCTAAAAAAATTGCCAATGGTTTCATTTCCATAAATGCATTGAATACATTCAAACTTGGTGAACATAAGCAGCTAGACTCTACAGTACTTACTACTGATAATGTATAATATGATTGAAAAAGCAGTCTACATATTAATTTACAGCTACTTGCAACATACATAAGAGGAATTAGTCAGTAGCAAACAAAAATGCATCCATTGATAGGACATGGGAAGCAATCTAGTAGTTTCTAAGAAACATTTTGTCGTTTTTGAGCCTCAGCAAAAGTATAGCTTGAACAGCGATTAATGAAACTAACAGGTATTTTGTTTTCTTGGAAAGCGATTTCTTTAAGACTACTTTCCTGAACTGCTATGATGTTTTTGAACTAATAAAAGCACAGTTTAGGACAAAAACAGTCCCCGAGACTCTCAAAAAGGGCGAACCAGAGAAAGCCCCGCATGGCGAGCTGTCACGTTGGAACCTAGCAGTGGGTCGGCCTTCTGCAGCCATCGTTTTGCGCAAATGCACACGAACGAATTTTTGTACAAATGTCCTATTTTTTACAATCCCCGTCAAGATAATCTCGTACGACTCCCTCTACCAAATACCGCTTTCACCAGACCTAGCGCTACTACACAAAAAATTATGGGAATTTCCCCATGAATTAATAGATCAGAGTCAATGGGATATTTTAGCTCCACACTCTAACATATGTGGTACTTGATACCTACACTAGGGGCTCGCAGTTATCCTGATTAATAAATAAGGGGAAAAAGGAAGCATCACCTAAATCAAGAAATGGTAAGAAAGAAATTGTATGGTGAATCAAGGTAACAATATAAACAGAAGAAAATCCAGTGATGTGTACACTTCTGAGTGCACAGTCTAGTAACAGGAAACCCTGATGGTATGGTATAGAAAAAAAATCTGAGTTGAAGATGCTGGATAATCGCAAGTGTGAAGGGTGAGGGCAAACAGAGCAGATGAAAGGATCATTACGGTAAGCATGCACTTGAAGGATGTCCAATCACATTTTAAGAAATTTCTTTTTTCATCAATACTCTTCCCCAACTGTTACGAAGTGTCACCCAGATGATCGACCAGATCTAGTTGTGAAGACATCTGTGGGGCCACTAAACAGGGCCCCTTACGTGATGGACCACTCTTCAGATTTTAATATTTAGCCTCCAAAATGCAATGCAATTCGAGAGATACTTCATCAGGGTGAATGTAGCTAATGGGTCATTAGCGTGTATAAGTTGGTTTTCTTTAATTCTCACATCACCATCACTTGCAACCATACCTGTCACGGTTAGGTCTACTGATTATTAGAAAAAGGTCGTCTCGTTTTTCCGAATCAGAGCAGCATTATCGACTAACAACGCTGTTTCCACTGAAAATGAACCAAACCCAAGCTATTCACCAGGGAAGAACGCTTGCCGTTGAAAAATTGCTAGAAGTTCACCGTAAATGGTTGCCTCAATGGAAGTGGCATAATGGACTGCAAACCCTTCAGGAAGGCAAAGGAAACCGCGAGATAGTGCTAGAATCTACAAATTTGAAGAAATTCTATTGAGAAATCCCTCCACCTCCACATGGATTGCATTAGTTGTGAACCTTCGAGCCCATAAAGCACGAGGTTGGTCGCAGTCATTTCACATCCACAATAACCGCTAGACTAATTGTAAGACATAGACAGATAAGATGTATTTGCCCCCCGAATGCAATTCCACCTCACGAGCACATCTTACGTGGCATCCAAACGCCAAGAGATCAAAGAGCTGCCTACTTCTCATCAACACATTCAGAATTATGGCCCTCGATAGGATACATTTGTGCTTGTTACTGTTCAATAACTAAGTCGAAGATAAACAAAGGGTACCATAGCTACTTGAAGGTAAAGGTAGAGGGGAATCGAGCAGGCAAAGAAGACTGCGAAGAATGCAAAAATAAGGCAAAAATCGTGCAACACGTCAACAGTCGTAACTCACAATCTGCTCTGGAAGTACGTCCCTTTGCGGAGATTTCGTAGATCGGAATCGCTGAGCGATGCCTCGGAGAATGCTACCGGGGAGACGTTGATGCTTTCGTATCAATGCACGTACTTCTCGTTTGATTTGCCGGCGAACCTATATCTGTTCAAAATGAATTCGTCGAGTGTGCTGGCTTCCGGAAATTCCTTGAACCTCTTCTGGGGTGACATTGTCGTAGTCGAATCTCATAGGTTTGCCTAAGTGCGTCACCATCTTAACAGGGAAACCACCATAGATCGGGCACAGCGGCATTTTCGTTTTCTCGTATATCCATCGGAAGAAGCTGCGTCCCCAGACTGGAGTACGGAATGATTCCCGACAATTTTCGGTAAACATCGGGATCACACACTGAAAAAAACTTCTTTTCAAGTTGGGCGCAAAACATTTAAAGCAATAGAAATGAAACTTCTGAGAGAATGCAAAATAACAACAAGTGAGGCCTGCACAAATTTTTTGTTAACACTGCTCTAGAGACTGCATCACTGTTTCACTGAGGCTTGGTGGTTCACACTAATATTTGCAGCTCAACTTAGGCCATTTTTTCAAACTGATGTACAGCCAGTGCTTTTATCCTTCCGGCGAGTCTGGTACCAACTCCCCTACCCAGGAGGGCTGATGATAAGCCCCAATGGCCTGGGAGGATATCGATCCGGAGTTCAAACCGGCGACCCATGCGCCCGTGATATGCGCACCTAGCACTAACTCCTTTGCCCGAGTGTGTGTCTATGCTGGATACGTATCGTATCGTTATCCGTAACAAGGTTCACGGAACGTCGTATTAAACGCGGGCATGCGTGGTAAATGGCACTACTTGCGGTTGCCATCAAAGTAGTACCTTCTTTTGGCCAGGAACTACCAGAAGCAGGTGAAAAGTCTGCTAAATATTTATTATTACTTAGCAAACTGAAATAATAATATTTGATACGATATACTCGTCGACACTACTGCAGTACTCCCTGAGCCCACTTACCTAACTTCCAAATAAAACTCCGGGCGTCAAACCCAAACCTTAGATAGCGGTCTATTGAACAAGTCGATTCGAAGAACATCAAATAAATGAAAGTAAAGTAGCAATTGCTTCTGATTACAATTCAAAAACCAGTTCACAAAATTCAATCTGTGGGAGACTACTCACCGTCCTTGAATTTATCACTACTCTTGCAAATCCCAGTCGCTTCCCCCATAAAATATCGTACACGTTAGGATCGGAGAAGAGTGCTTCACGAACACCTGTAATTCATCATTTGTAAACTTAAGAACTGGAGCAAGTAAAAGCACTGAACGCAGCTGTCCCATTCGACTTTTGACTGTATATGTGAGAAACAAAACTAACAATTCTTCACATTTGAGGGGTTGGGAGGAAAGCACTCCAACAAAAAGAAAGTTCTCCTGAATGTATTTCTAAGATTCTCTAATTTGACTGAATATCAGAAACACATTCACTAGAAAGCTCGAAAACCTTACTAAATCCTTTGACTGACTGCCACTTTCAGACCATCACATCTTAAGAATTTTCGCTACCAAAGAATGCTTGAACAGAGGGAGCAAATGGTAAACAAAAATTCTAACGCCTGGGGAGTATGGTATGAGGAACCAAGAACCAACCAGACCCGACGTTTTTTTGACGGGTCTTCTAAGCGAAATTCAGCCTCATGCTGCTTCCATCCTCATTTTCATGACGTTTCGAACGTCTTGCTCTAACCTCGTTGCTGCTGCCCGAGTCGATGGTGCCAGCAGTATGGTGTCGTGAATAGCTGGTTCGTGACTAACAGCTCACATCGCTCATTCAAGCCACACCAGACTCAGAGGAAATTTCACGTAGCCTCGAAAGCTAGTCCCCCCCCCCTCCAACGGATGCTCAACCAATTATTTATCTTTGAACAATGAACAGCGCTTCTGTCAGATAAGTTCCTGATGACATCATGTCGACAAATTTGCGAAAGCCAAAGCGTGCGCCTTTGTTCATTGATGTGTTGAGCGGCCAGAAAATGTTTAATCAGCTAGTTATTGTTGTTGTGTTCTCAAAATTTATCCAAATAATTAATTTTTCAAGCTTTTTTGTAGAATAACTTTCCCGTGAAGTTAATATAAATGAAGATGTAGTGCGATTACAAACCTCCAGGGGCAATACATAGAAGATTGCCCTCTCGCAGCTGATTGGTACATTCGTCAACAGTTCCGGCAGTGATCGAGAACACTTTACAGATGGCACTCCAGCCTATAAGCGGAAACTAATTACATAAAATTACTCCTGAAAAAAGAAAGAACAACAATGAAAAGCGTGTACACCTGGGATTTTGAAGATGAACTTGTCTCCGACACAGTGAAGCGAACGTTTCTTATGAAGTACTAGTTTAGCGATGAGGTAATAAACATCCAATGGAAGACACCCGTGGTAATAAATGAAGAGGGCAGACCCGTCGTCCGGCACGTTTTCGATACCATCTAGTTCATAACCTATAAAAGATGTGCATATATGTATTACATATTATATTATAATAAATATTATTTGATTTAACGTCCCATACTGGGACCAGAACTACTAAATGCAACGGAAATATGCAATGGTTTCTCTTAACATTTCAAATCGAAGAACCCCAAGTAAGACCTAATTCTTCGAACGGAAATGCTCATTCGTCTTTCAGTCTTTCAAGAGCTCTTATCTGGCTCAGGGGCTACATATATTTGTGAAGAGTGATAACCTTTACAATAAGCGTCCTCCCCCCATCTGCATATCATAACTTACACACTTCGCCAGTATGAAATCAGTTAGTTGCATCCATGAGCTACGTACGTTTTCTTCTTTAGACACTGTCCACAAGTGATAAATCTCCTTCATGCTGGACCTGCATCAAATTTACGGCCCAGGCCCACTCAAACTCGTTAGTGCCCCAAACCCTTATTGTAAGCATAAAGAAAAACACGGTTGAGCTGACTAATTCAACCACCCTAAAAACGTTGACATAACAATCTGTCGCAGACCAGAAGACTGCAATGAAGTCAAAAAGCCGCATACCATGCCAAACGTGTCCAACCGCATCCCAGAACGAAGTTATGGCTATACGTGCTCCATTCCAATAGCTAGTATTGTAAGCTTCCCGAATTTGGTGGCGAAATCCATAAACGTGCAGAAAAATTACGCAACCGTAAATAAATATCACCAGAAACGCTGGTACAACGAAGACGATGATGATCGGCAGAAAGAGCCATAGAAGGTACTGAAATAGTAAAACTGAAATGCAAACTGATATAAAACGCTCATCTGAAGACAATTATTACCTCTTTCGACTCACTGTTCAATATTCCTTCAAATAAATTGAAAGGCCATACAAACCACATTACCGTGGCCTCATGTTAATGTGTCCCAAAAAATAAAGAAGAGAAATTCGTACAAAGTATCTAGAACAATTCTGTAACCACGTGCGAGGAGAATGAGGAACGGTCAAAATGGAGAAGATTAACATAAAAAATGATTACAGGGCACGAACGAAATTTTCGGAGTTTGAAAACCCCGTTTTACCTTGATGACCTTGTTAACAGGTATTTTGCCACAGTACGCGATGCGAGAGTCTCACAAAGTTAGTGAGTTATGGTTAGAACCTATGGTTCGGACGGGACTCGAACACGTTCTTGCCCTTTCCGGGGACCGCGCTCTAATCCCTTACACTACCGAGACCCCGCTTACCCACGCCTTCTTAATGGCTTATATGCCATAGCTTATCAGCACTAACATGTACAACGTGTTGAGCCGCTCAGAATATCAGCATCGAACTGTCAAGCTGTTAGCTGTTCATGTTATAACTTGTTTTCACTTGATGATCTTCTAAACTGCTCTCCAACACCCCTTCCAACTCTCCCCTCCCCCCCCCCGCCCCTTCGCCCCTTCCATCGTACCCACAGAACACACTTAGCTCGACTTATAAAATGGCCTTCATAACGATAGAAAGAGGAACAAATTGAGTCAGAGCAGTGGTTCTAACGATGACCTTGCAGCGCAATAAAATGCAATGCACGCAGAATTCGCAGCCTTTCATGGCATAACCTTAACTGAATGCAGATATTTCCAATCCGTCACACACATGACGCATCGAAAGGGAACTAAAGCAAGTCGCTAGGCGTGTTGACGGGTTGCCAAGGAACTACAATGCATCATGACTGTTTCTTCGAGCCGACTTCCTACAGCTGGCTTAGGATAGGAATTAGGAATATGGAAATAGTAAATTCCATTCGTGAAGGGATCTATTGGTCATGTCCGTATAATGTAAAACGAAATTCTTGCAACTTAAGCCTGCAAAAAATCAATTGAGGGGCTTCTAGGGAAGTTTTCATCAATACCACGTTCATCACAGCTATCTGCCTCTTCTGACTTCCCATCGCTCTTTTGATTTGCAAGTTCATTCAGTCTCTTTAGCTACATGCACAACTGTGATCTGGCAGTTGAAGCTCCCAAAGTCCAACCTTCGAAGAAGGTTCCTCTGAATTACGAGGGATTCAACAGGAGTGACGCCCCAAAAACTTCCAGCCACTAACGCTATAGCCAGCGCTAATTGAAGGTCTACAGTCAATCTTTACACCTTCCATGTTGAGAAAAGAACTTCAATGGGTTTCCTTTCTATATGACGGGGTTCAAACAATGTTGCGAAAGAAACTCGGGAAAAATCCATAATCATGAATGTACAGATTTTCGACATCCAACCCTCGTTTCATTACAATCGATTACGACCTAGCCGGACTGAAACTTTCATTTGAAAAACCGCTACACAATAGAAGCTAGAACTCGCTTTCCATTACTTTTCTAGTCAGAACCATAGTAATGCTGTCAGACAGGTTCCTATAGATTCGTAACATGTTGTAAGTAATTCTACACTGTACAAGCTTGGGATCCAGTCCAAAAAACAATAAAAAATAAAATCAAAAAGAAGCTTAGGCGGTTCGATAATCATGGACCGACCTAAAAAGATTACAATGTGACAGCATTTAGAGTATTATGGAAGATTTGAACGTCTCCCATGACTAAGGACTCACACACTTATCAGAAAAACGTCTCGGCACCGTTTTATCGAATTTTCGCTTGCAAGCCTTCGGGACCGGACGAAAATTAATGATAAGGCGGTGAGAGTTACGAAAACCCTATTTTTCTGGCTAAGAGCAAGCCGAAGGCGCACCTGTTACCGAAGGCAGATTCAAAGTACACAGTTGGATTACAGCCTTAAGGTATAGGTGGCCCTGACGACATTGTGGGGCAACACCCAATTGTCATCAACCTCTGTGTAAAATTTCGATGCAGTCAGACAAAATATCAGCGAATACTCGAAGTCAGTGACTTAATCATTCTCTCACTTAACTGTACTTTTGAAATCCTGAATTGCAGCAAGGCAGAGGTGGTATAGTGGCAAGTGACGCACTATAACACACGCACTGTCACATCTTCGAATCCCGAATCGATATCCGCTTAGGCCAACCTAGGCCAGCCTCAGAACCCTCCAGAGCGGTTAATTGGTAACTGACTCGTCTAAGAGGATAAAAGCACTGACTTGTACATCGGCCGGCAACCGCAATTCATTGTAATGGCCACAATCGCATTCAATACATATACGATTCTGAATTGAAGTCGAATGTGGTGATGCATCCATTGGATAGAACTGCTCAACACCAGAAGACTTTATCCTTCATCTTTTTATGAAGCAGCAAAAAAACGAAAAATGTGGCAAAACTGATTGCGATTAGAACGAGGCACCACTTTCTGGAACCGCCTTCGATCATTTCCATAAGGATTGATTTGAAATAGATCAGAATGTGCGAACACTTTCCTTGTGGAGAACTTGAAAAATTATCAGGATCGAGTTGTTCAACGTGAAATCTCAATAGTATAAAGCAGAAAGTATCATCCTACGATTCCTTCCTCCAAACGACAGCACACTTATTTATTTATTGAAATCGTAGATAACTTGGTCTCGAACATAAAGATTTTTCGCCACTTATTACAGGAATCGTCCAATTTTTGGCGCGAGTTTGCCTATGAGTGTGCAGAGCACTTGGTACGGGAAAAATCAGCACGACTGCATCGATGTTTGGAAGGGAAGCCTAGACGATTTGGGCAAATATGAACCTGCCTGCCTATCTGAAGCATATACTCCAGCTATTATGTCTCACGCGAATGAATTGAAAAAGGCCGTCGAGACCGTTCTGTTGAAATAGCAGCAGCCGACCAACTTTTGGGCAATTGAGGTATTCTTGCCCAGTGTGTGAGAATCAGTATTAGCTATACCTTACGCTCGTGCCACAGCATTCTACAGGGAGTCATTATCAACATGAAAAGAGGTCAGTCAGGGAGATGGGTTCTTGCCAAACTTTCTCAGACTGTTCTTAAAGACGTAGTGCATCAGCTGGACAGTAAGACATAAAAGCGAAAGCTCATTCCATGTTACACCCATTCCACTTTGATGACGACCTTCTCCTGCTCATAGCAACGTTTATCGAGCAAAACAAACGCAGGTTGAAATCGATAGTGCATGCAAAAAGACAGTTCGCAGTCGAGCCGAATAAAGGCAATACTCATGAAAAACGCACTAGTTCCCGATGCCATATAAGCTCGGTGTGCAACGAGCGTCTTTAAATGTAAATTGTGTCTATAAGGAAGCCGGTATGATTCTGATTCTGAAATGACCAGAATGCTGTTAAAGCGAAGGCACTGTGGAAAAACTTCTCATGAGTCACCGAAGTCTACGAATACACAAGGAGAAATAAACTTCTTTGAACTCCATGAATTACGTTGTCGGCTGAACGCTCTTGATCGGATAAAAGCGGACATCAAATGGTTCTGTGACGAGGGCTGGACCAGGACGATTACAAACATATCTTTCAGAATGTCAAAAGGGCATCATGATGCTCGTTGGCCCTATAGAAGACTTTTCACGAATTTTGATGAAAGAGAACTGCATTGTGTCGGTCGAGCGAGGAGAGTTCTTGGAAACACGCTGGCTCGTGACAGCGACATATGAAGGGTTGCTAGCGCCTGCTCGGAAAAAGTATGACCAATTGAACGACTGTTGATACAGGTGAGAAACTTTCGTCCCAAAACGTGTCCGATATATGCGCTAATCCAATAAAGTTAATCCCGAAGGTCAAACATGTCTACAATGAACACCAAAGTAGGATTGATGTAAATTAAGGGACTCTACCCTTTGCCTTCATTTGTAAAATCGCCCGTTAAGTCTGAAAGTACTTAGAATGAAAGTTCCCTTCACTATTGCCTATCTACTGGTTTTCAATGTGAGACATGAAATTGAAAGGCCTTATATCTTCTTAAACTGTTGTTGAAAAATTCAGTTTTCACGGTAATGAACACAGCAGGGCATGGCCTAGCTGAAGCACCTTGATGGACAAAGCACCCTTATGACTGCTAAGGAAAGTTACGACAGAAAAATTGACAATCTCTCATGCAATTCAATGGCATTTCAATTCTGGTGATTGAATGCAGATCTTTCGCAGAGAACGTTACCGGATACAATGGTGGAGAGAAGCTCTTTTCCATGTTTTAATTATAAAACGGTGAAACGCGCATTTCCTGGAGCTATCACATCCAGAAGTAAAGGCCGAAAGCCTCGAACTCGCGCCTGCCTACGCGATCGCGCGGCATCAACTACACAGGATTACTGGCACTATACAATGCGCGTGACAACCATGCATACTGCCCACAAACTTTATTTGGAATCCTCTGACAAGCATCAGTGCGGCTAGCAAGAAATGCTTATAAGTTTCCGATGGGCATGGCAAATGTAGCGTTTAGCGTAATTTTTTTCAATAATTTTTGTCTTGATGCTATACAATGAGTACAAATGTGAATAACATAAGGTACGGTTTAACCTTCACACATATGTTTTCTACATTCACACGCGTAAAAAGGGGTAAAAACAATATGAACCGCTGATCGGCAGCATATTAATCGACGGAAATCATCAGCACTACCGGCGATTGAATAAACGAAAACATATTACTCGCTCAAAACATCAGTAAAAATCGAGCGTAACGAATTATGTTTCACAATCGCAGACCAACAGACACCATGTGGGCGGAACAAATCGCCCTTTAAGGCCCTTCAAGCACTTAAACAAGGTATCCAGGATACACCTGAGAAAGATAACGCTCACCTCCAAGTAATCCAAATCAATGTAATCGACTGCCCACGTTATCCATAGTAGAAGCACTTCCACATGCGGTTGAAGAAATTCAGGCCATGCCACATCTGGAGGAACGTTTCACTTATCGTGTCCCGGCCTTATCAAGCGAGGGTCTTGGACAGAGTTGAGTCTACTAGGGAGTATGCGGATGAAAACTGACCTTGTATTGCTTGGATCAGGTCAGATATGGCCATTCTACAGGTCCGCCCCCTAGATTGAATTAATCCTGAGCTACTCTTTATGAATATGGATTTCGGGAATGAACGGATGTAGCTGAAGTATAGCAATGTTTTGTACACATTACAGTTGAATACACAACAGCAGAATCATGTTTCATTAAGTTGAGCAAGAAAATGATCGCTAATAAGTATATTACAAAAGCATGGCCTGAGAATCGAATCGAGGTCTACAAAGGTAAACTTTGGCATTGTTCTACCGAGATGCTTCTTCAGATGCGCTATCCTTCCATGCACCCGTGTCATAAATTGAGACAGCTGCTTCGTCTAATATCAACCTGTAAAAGTAACCTTGTGTTCTAACGATTATAAAGTGTACGTTGCCAACGCACAAAAATACAGCTCATACTGCACGCTCTATACATCAACACCTAGTTTTCTAGGCCAGCGCATCTTTACGATGCCAGGCTCCTTAGTAATAACAAAACGAGAACAAAGAAGTATGAAAACAGTTTACCAGTAAACTTATAGCCACACTGACCTTATTTTTGCTGTGACGAAGGGTGTGGTTTCATCATCTCTTACAGCCATAACGTCCATGTAACCTCCAGCTATTGTTCCTATCACTGGAATCCGCAACTGTAATAGCCTCGGATGTTTTAGTCGGGATAGCCTCATGTAAGTTTTTTTTTTGGTTTTTAAGCGCCATCAAGCCTTAGTGTGCAAATATCGAAGTCAAAGTTTGCAAAATGTTTGTTTGAATAAATGTGTTCTTCGTAAAATAATCAAGTCGAAAAAGAAAAAAAACTTTCCAAAACCAGATACAAAACAAACAGATCTAACAATGATAGATCCTATCATTTGTACAAAAAAAAACATTCCACGTCCTACAAATAAAGGCTAGCAAACTACAAAAAAAAATTCAGTGAACACTTTGTTGTCTGGAATATAAGGCCTGGAAATGGCTACCCAAAAGTCTGCCACTTTAAACTGACTACTCACCATGCTCGTCGTTTTTCCCACATAATTATGTCGACGATCTGCGAGGTCCACTGATCCCACCTTGATTGGCGGTCCCAATGCATCCTAAACTAAATATGAGAGGATGTAAGAGGACAGCAACCATCTCCATAATAGAAATCCCTCGACCACGATGAAAAAGAAGTCAAAAGATATAAGAGATTCAGCATACCCTGGCACGGTCATGTTGAGCGAAGATCTTCAAACTTTCAGCGTAATGAGGAAGTTTTCGCACTCTATGCTGCACAGACTTCTGTGCCAAGTACAATGCTGTGGATCCTACTAAAAATCCTCCGGCAGCGATCTTCACTAAGGTGGCGGTTTGAACCTGAAAGTGTGGCAGTGCAACAAAGGATGGTATAATGGAAGCACCAAACTTTCGCATACCATTGAATTACGCTCAGCTCAGCTCACTGCCGATCTACAAGACTTGGGCTTTCGAGCATTCGACTTCAGAAGCGCACCTGAAAACAGAAAATTGATCAATTAAAGTACCATCAAATATTACTGAACTTTTATATGATGGTGGAAGTGATCAGAGAAAGTTCGATAAAATCTTTATTATTCGCGGAAAATCGCGAAGACTCGAGCAAGGCACATAAAATACTGAGCGACAAGAAATTTCAATAATCTCTGTGTAGGGTCCATGCACATGTTTGGCCAATACCAGCCATTCCAACCACTTTCCATCCCTCCTTTTCGAGGATATTCAGGACTTGACGAGGAGCCAAGGTTGTCATGTACTCCTGGAACTAGGTGAACACTGCTGCAACAAAATCTAGAATATACTGTAGGAACCACGGGATATGAGCACTTACCACGAACTCGTTCCCAAGCTGCCGTGAGGGATGCGCACGTAACCGCTCCATTAGCTCCTTGTCGCTGTCTCCATCTCCCACAAATGTTGGTCCCGTTTCAAGTCGAATTTGCGTAGATATTAGCAAATAAGGCATAGGAGACAGTATCTACTTGAAAATGACAACAAATGTGAACAGCAACGTTTATAGGCATCATCCGCGTAGTCGGAAATACTGAACCATTCTGTGCACAACGGAAATGAGAAAAGTAATTGATACCAAGCAGAACACAAAGTTTGAAAAACTTATAGAGACTTGCATGAGATGGACAGACTCGTTAGAGACAAAATGAAACGGGACGATGTATAATTGATCAAAGAGACATCATCAGCATTGCAATCTATTGATATGAGTAAGAAACAGCTGAAGGCAACTGCCCCTGAGCGCTAACCGGTTTTTTCAGCGCCCGTTTACAGACACATATCACAACATATAAACAAAAAATCGTCACAAAGAACAAAACAACTTGAAAACTCGCACGAAAATTCCAATGCAAATGAGTAGGTATTCAGTAATGAAGTGAGAAACGCTTCAAAAATCAATAGAAACTCGAAATTATGAAAATTTTCATTGCTAATAAAATTAGTATAAACAGTTCTTTAAGACCCGAGTGTTTCACCAAACAACAGCGTTCGAGGAAGTAAAGAATAATAATGTGTAGCACATGGATCTATCTTCCTAGTACTAGTCGTGCACACATTAAGAAAACAAACGGCAACGTCGTAGCACATCGAGCGTTAAATGATGTCAGGAAATGAGCGCAATGTAGTTCTTTTTGACGCAACTTTTATCTACATGAGAACAAAATCAATGTACATCATCTTTATCTCCATCATAAAACTGCTTCATCGGCGACGTTCCTGAAACTCACCTAAATTATAGTGTTCTGGAGAACAGGAAGGCTAAAACTTCTGGAAGAGTGTTGTTGGAAATTACGCACTGAAAGCGAATGCTCTACCTTCAATCAGATGTCGGGGAACGTCTAATATTCCAACGGACTGCTGCTCATGCCAAGGCCCTCATCCTCGTTGGCTGGGAAACAGTAGGGCAGTAATGCAGTAGTTTTCATGCACCTTTGCAGCAAAGCAGGATGGAGTTGTGCGATTGCATCCATCCTTTCCATTTCTTGCCGCAACACGTTCAACCTAATCATAGAAGTATTGCCATGGGAAGGTAACTGTTACACAAACCGTTGTATGCATTGTAAAGATGGCGGGCAAGCCAACTGAGAGTGGAGATCATCTATTCACAGATAGATACCGAGGAAGTTGGAGTTTTGAAAGAAGAAGGAATCTATAGGTTTCTCTATAGATGGTTCGATTAACAACCGAGGGCTAAAAATACCGTCATATTTCAAACGCTAACCATACACTAACACTAACACTGAACCAACCACAGCTTCACCCACGTTCGTCGTAGCTCCCCACGCTAAAAGACACAACTCTTCTCAAAAGGTAGATCCGCAGAAAAGTGGATGCATGGCTCCCATCCGATAACCGAGCTTTGATTTCTAGCCCATATCATCAGTTTAGGATTGCTCTAGTCTAGAAACTGCTGACAAAATTCGCCATGTTAGAGCCAAATGCATTAGTTCCAGATTAAGGCAAAATTCAAGAATCTTGTTACTCTCCTCGTCGAGCTTCAGTAATTGGATGCACTAACTCATGTACACTAAAAACAACCCTAACAAAAATGGCTTCAAATAGACGCTAGAGATGGAATTTGTTACCATTCAGTAGCTATCTAAGTTGGCTGCGTTTTGTGCGAATTCCATTAAACTAAAGGAAATGGTAATTAACGTATGAGATACCTCTCTAACTTGGAAACAACATCATGACTGTTTATCTTCTCTGAAACGACTTCAAGTCGAACGATGCCTTCACTTATAGAGACTTCGGCTAGCAGCTTTCCACGTTTGAAAAGTGTCTGAAATGATACAAAACATAAAATGCAATCACAGCATGGAACTCATATTATTTATGCTTGCCTCCATTATCTCGACTACTGAGTCGGTGTCAAGATATGCTCGGGCAGCCAAATCAGAGAGCGGTATTGAAGAAAATGACTAAAATATGAAAAGCTAATGCTCATCACCGCCACCTCGAAGCCGAAGAATGCAACAAACCTTCGCTACAGAAAGGACGGCCTTTTCTTTGAGTTCTTTGATAATTCGAGTAATCAGTCCTACCGCTCCATCCTTAACGGTACAGCCATAACATTGAATACCTAATTAACTGGATCACAGCACGCACCTCAGTAAACACTTTTCTATTATCATTCAGCACTTTCTCGACTGCACTTGCTCGATCTCCAGCTGATTGGACAGCCGTCGCAAGTGCTGAATAAGGATCTCCAACCAATTTCCACGCTCGAGTCAGCGCTGATGACCGACCAGCCGGCATTATTATTTTACCAGAATACAATAAGCTTGCAAGGTAGAACCTGAATCAAATTTCATGCAACGTGAGGAAAAAAATCAGAAAAAATGAAAAAAATTATCCAAAACACTCTGAGAAATACTGTAGAGGAATAGTTGATCTAGAGAAGGTTTGAAAGAGTTTTAAATAAAGTTACTCCCACCATACAGATTACACATCACATTTCCTGTTCCACTCCTTTATTTAACGACGATTTTTACGAAACTATGCACAGCCTTACCATAAAATTCAGCTAGGGTAGCGAGGAGTAGTTGGTTCCGCTCCAAATGACAATATTTTTATTCGTTCGCAGATAAAACTCGAGAGGGGAGTTCTCAAAAAGTTCAGGTCTGACACACTTCCTAAATTAGATGATCCCCGCAGAACACTGATCGTCAGAATCATAACGCTATCCCGATCTTTTCTGTGGTTGAATCGCACTTGAAGCAAATCACACTAATGAGAAACTCTCTCCTATGTATCACCAGTGAGTTCCTATACAAAGCACAGTTGATATTCATCTCTACTTATGAACGTCATTTAGCTGGGAGCATTTGCAAAATGGAAGTCCTCCAATCTCGAACAACCCCGTCTTCTCATAAAATTAATCCTAATGGACAATGGCGGCACCAACCTTCACATACACTGTAAAGGGAAAAACTCTCGTATGCAACATGTTACAATATAAATAAATACATCGAGTATGCAGTATCGCGCTCGAGCGATAAAGATCAACTCCTACCAGGCCTTTGAGTATTCACCCCCTCAATTTGCATTACAGCCTCCTTCCCTATTCGAATTAAGGACTCAGAGCTTAGAAAGAACTGACAGGTCTGTCCAATTTCAGTGTATGATGCATGTCGGAACAAAACGACTTTAATCAAGGGAAGCTTACTTTTTCAATGCGTCGAGCTGTGCTACGGTTGTCGCAGATCCAGGTATCAATATGGCACTCTCCAACAAAGAAATCGCACGACGCAGTTCATTCTATATCATCACTAATGAAAATTTAGTTAAAGAAACCAGAAGAGGCAAGATGCACAACCCACTCTTCTCATCAAAAGAATGGCTCCATAGTAGAGATACAGAAGCATATACTTAGACTCGAAATAAACCGGTGCTGGTGCAGAAACTGTTCGCTGCTTCCGAACATGTACATTTTCTGTCGTGGAGTCAGATGTGCTGACTGGGCTCTGTAAAAAATTAAACTACAAAGATACCAACAATTGAGAAATAGCGAATGATCTGGAAGGTATTTCCCTTTCCCCAAGACTTGTTTTTAAAGAAAAAAAAAACGAAGAGAACGAAGAAAATCTCTCCTGCAGCCTAAGCATACGTTTGGATTCGATCTTCCCGAAGAGACAGTAGTGCTTACCTCATTCACTAACCCGGTTACATTTCTATATATGTACGGCAAGGCTGCGTCTACATTGTTCAAACGAACACAGACAGCAAATAGGGCAGAGTGAAGAGAGGATACAATGCCTTCGTTGGGATCAACCAATAGTCGCATGGCTGACAGAGCGAGATCAAGTCCTATTTGAGCCTAAACGGCAAGAGTCCATCAATTGAGAGGGAAAGTGAAAATTTTATGGGAACGAAAAATGCCTACTTCATTCTTTTTTCTTAGGCAGTAGTTAACAGCGTTTCTGGCAAGAGGGAAAACTGAAAGTAAAAAACAGATTATTGAGAAATTGAATGCTTTTTCAAAATCAGGTGTAAAAGTAGTACATAAAAGACTACTGGACTAACCAACATCTGGAACGAGTTTCAGATGTTCCAACACCAAATTGCCACTCTCAATGAAGTGCTTGAAAAATTCGACAGCTCGGTCAGCACCCTGCTCATTATTCTTAGCGATAGAGCTATCGTACAGCGCTTTTATGGCAACCATCATAGCGGCCTGAAAAAATTTCAAAATTTCGCTTTGACATAGGGCAATTCAACAGTGTCCACATACTATACAAAACATAATCATAAAATAGTGCATGAATTAAAGGACTTTACTTGTTACAGGAGCTCAAATCAATGCTAGCGGCACTAATTTTGGAACTAATACGGAAAGAGTAGCACAGCAATCTGAAGAAGTATTCTGCGGCGCAAGAGGTCAGCTTCGTAAGCTAAGGGTGGCCGAAAAATAGATATTTGAACTTGCAAAAAAAGAGTGCTTCACTTCAACGCTAATTTACCCAATCAGATTGTTGGCAGAGGCGATCCTGTCCCAATACAACAAGCCTGTAGTGATGTTTGAATTTCTAGGACTTGGAGTTTTGTTAACTGCTTTGAAAGTCGCACAAGGTTGGCGATTTACGAACAGGCCGAAGTTTTGCCCGTAGCTCGCCAATCCTGTATGAAATGTTAGGGTTCCGCCACGCCACAATTGACCACTAAAAGGGCATCACTCACTGCCTTGGAAAATGTTTTGTTTTAGAAACAGAAAAGGAAATTAAATCATAAATGAATTCCAGGAAAATTTACCGATCCTATCCTTGGGTTACAATTCGTCAAAAAGTGTTCGACTTCACCAGGCTTCTTCTCGAAAACATCCTTATACTTCCGAGCAATTTCGGCAACCTTTTCAGGGGCACCTTCTAAAGAGGTGGTTCATAGTGCAAACCGTACTTCTTGGTAAAACAGACATCACACTCACCATCGCCTTCAGGTATTTCATTGATGATCTTCAGTAATCCCTCTATGCTTGGCATGTCAGTGAAGAGCTTTATAATCGCACTCATTCAGCTTGCACGAGCTGTCCAACTACCTATAAATTTATTTAATTTATTTACAAAGTTTACAGGCATATGCACAAATCGGGACGGCAAAATCGTAAAAAAAAAAGGACAACGAACGCATGGGAGAGGGATCTTGTGGGTGAAATCTAACACAATATGAATACTGCGGGAAATGAAGCATTAAAGCCTCATTTTCTACAAGTGCATACAAAACCAGGCGCTCTAATTTCATACAGCTCTGCACCACGGTGAAGCAGAGTTTATGGAGTGAGAAGAACTTAACTATTTGACTTACTTATTCCACACGACACGTATCAATTTGCTCAAAAACATACCATCAAATGGCAATACATAGCTTTTGTAAGAAGATACTGAGTTAATCACCATGAACGAACGCCGGCATGCAATCATGCATACACAATAACTTTTGGCTAAGCTTATCGTACATAATGTCCAGTTCCTCTTCACTTTTCTCACAACCTGTTTTGTCCAAGTTATAAAGCGCTAGATGAAGATTCGTCACGTCTTCGTGTTCCTTCTTCATTGCTCGCATGCTTTCCATTTGCTCGTTTGTAAGTGATCGCATTTGTCCACTTCGGAACTCTTCTAGGAGCTTTAGCATTGAGCGTTCCAGGTCATCAAGGTCAGGATCGGAGTGTTCCACTCGAAGCAGTTCCTTACGAGCAGGTACAAATTCTGTTAGAAGTGACTCTTCCAAAGAATCAACCTTCCATTCGTATACTGCAGCACCGCCTTCGTGCCCTTAAATACATGTGCGTAGCATAAAATATATAAAGTATCCAAAAAGTACAGCTGTAGTGGTATCAAGGAAAAATGGGCTGTTACAAACCTCGAGCGTGTTAAGCAAACTTTCTACTATCCGACTTTGAGAATTACATTTAAGAAATCTTGTCTGCGGGAGGTATTAGACCAAATAACGTATCCACACCGTTGTTAACCTATTGTAACCGTCAAAGGAGAAGCCCTCCAGCCCAGATTTGCAGTGTCGGCGTCTCATAACATCACACGATGACTAGCACTCTTCATAAAAAGCTCGTTAAAATGAATGGAATTTGGAAAGGAACACGCGTGTGAGGTGTACAGAGTTTCATTTAACCGTTTCAGTTGCAAGAACAGGGAAGAGACCTACATCACCTACAAATTTTTGGAAGATAATCTCCTTTGAAACCCTCTAGACAAGCGACACAGCAGCTTTATTCAAAGCAATATTCAATTGTGGAGGCATGCTGAAATGAGGAAGAAATCGTAATCAAAAATTACTCACCTATTTCCAAGGCGGATCGAAAACCATCCGCTCCCATTTGTTTCATTTCGTACCAGGTTTCCTCGTTATCAGGTAACGGCAATTTGTCTGGCCGATGAAGCGATTCTTCTTCGCTTATCGTATTCTTTTGCTTGTCTTCTTTTTTATCCTCCGATCTAGTGAAACGATGAAGAAAGCTGGAGAACGATGTGGAAGTTTCTCTACGCTTTGTTTTGTGGTCATCGAGAGATTTCCGGCTCCATTTTTTCTCTCTTTCGCGCTCGTTTTCCTCGGAATCATTCTCCATCGGTGCCACTGAAGCTGTCATAGGGGTGGAAAATGACAGCTGGCCCTCAATGTTGCCCGATTCTTCTGGTATCAAAACTCGCGTTTCACTTCCAGGAGACCGGCTCGTCTCTTTCGACATCGCTATTCAAAAGTAAGTTTCAACTGTTAGCGAAATACAGACAAACCAGTGGTATCTGCAAGACTACACGAGAAAAATCACGGCAAAATAGACGCAAAGTTTCCAATACCCGCTTGACAACAAAACCTGATATCCGGGCAAGTCAGAAAACCGGCGAATCACCAGGAAGTCAAGGAAAAAAATGTTGTCGTAGAAATATCACTCATAGTCGTTTACTGTAGCCCTTGAAAACCGTAGAAAAATTACGTACGGTACCCCTTGCATTACGCGTAGAGAAGTGGAATGGTTTGAAATGCTCACGGCTAACTGTACGGCTTGTTGCGTAAATTACTCTACAGGAAGCTGTTACGATAAATCCAAGTATGATTGACACTTCCGAACTGTTGCTCTCCCTGGACCACGTAAAGTACAGGAAGTCTGGGGATGGACGCTCGCCAATCGGACGACTGCTTTTGTACAAGTAGGAGGCTGAATAATTTTGCACAATATGGTGATCCTGATGAGAGCTATTGATTTTTGTGTACTGATGATCTTCAATAATATTGTTCTGTGCAGGTTTTTGTAGATTACTACAGTACCTTTCAGCTTCTTATTCCCTAACCCCAAAGTTTATTACAGGGAACATGTGGAATGGAGAGATAATGCTGGACCAGAGGTTCTTTATGTGAAATTTATGCAAATAAAAGGTAACTTCTACTTTTATTTAGACAAGTGATACATTTGCTTGGTATTTTTCTTAGGTCAACGCGTTTCTCCGCCGAACAAATCGAAAGTTCAGCTGCAACTGGTACTTCAAAATGATGATCAAGCAACGTTTGTTTTCTTAAACCCTGCGCTTGATAAAGAAGGCTTGATCAAAGAGAGAGACTTGCTGAAAGAAACCTTACAACAGTCTTTGATTGCCCATCGTCAGCGAGTGAACCAGGTTCGTGTCTCAAGAGCTTTTTTCCACTCTGATCAAAATTTTTTTCATTGTTTGCTACTCTTGAGACATCCGATCTGGCTTCGTCCGGATTCTTCATTTTATCTGTTTCTAAAAATTCAGCAAAGTTTTCAATTACATGTTATTATTGAGATCGTGCACTGGTAGTTGTAAGGAAGTGCGGGCATTTTTTCCGATGATGAGGTTGATGATTATAAGGGGGTCATCCGTTGCGACACTCGGCTTCCCTATCCCCATCCCCCTCCCCTTCCCCTTTTACGCTCTTATGGGTTAGCTTGGGCAGTGGTGGTGAGGTGGCACGTGGCTGTCCGCCCTATCTCACATGTGCGGCCACGGGTTCGAATCCCGTACCAATATCCGCCTGGGCCAGCCAAGCATTACATCCCCCTGGGGTCGGTTAATTGGTGCTAGACTCGTGTTAGAGGATAAAAGCACTGACTTGTACATTGGCTGGCCACGGCAAGTCATTGTATAGGCCACATACACATATAATGCGCCACTACGATCCCGAATGAGAGTCGAATGCGTGCGCGCATCCCTCAGACGGGATTGATTACCGCTCCAAGACTTTGTCCTTTATGACCTTATTAGTTAGCTCGTTGTTCGACTCATAGACTCATAGTTCGAGGCAGATTTACTTGACCGATCAGCGGACCTAGGGCTAGTCACTCCCACCCCAGATGCCGCTTCTACCCCTCGAAATCTCCTTATAAACTTGTTCATTAGTTTTTCGATATAGCTTATCTACCATTCTTGCAGACTTTGAAATTACTTCGCTTCCAAATCTCCTTTAGTCTTTTTCTATTTCTCACTGTTCTGTTGTATACATCACTGGAGCCTGCTTCCTTATCAGCAAAGCATTCTTCATTTCTTTTGCTCTTACTTTCCATCGGTGCCAATTTTATTTAATCCAATCTTTATGTTTAAGTTGGCTGCAACGAACGAACAGGATATCAAGCAGACAGAACTTCGAGAGAAACAGAGAATCTTAGGAGAAAACAAGCAGCTTGATCAACTGTACACTCACTTAGTGGCCTCGAAATTAATAAGTGCTCAGGATTTTTGGACTGATTATTACAGCTCTGTAAGCTTTATGCTTAATTTTATCCCGTTCCCTTTTTATGATCACTTTTTCTGGTTAGCCATTTTAACTTCTATTTTCAGACTGGTATTGTCGAAGATAAGTCAGGAATAAGTGGTGCATTCCTCACCAACATTGTGCAACAAGAAGGAACAAATGGCATAAAGTTGAATTTGAACACAGAAATAATCCAGGCAGTGTTCAACACCTATCCTGCAGGTAGCTTTAAAATAACACTTTCTTACTAGACACATCTTAATAATATACTCACAGTGGAAAAGAAACATCTCGAGCTTGTTCCCCATGAGATGACTGAGTCGCAGTTTTGGACGAAGTTTTTCCAATCCCACTATTTTCACCGAGAAAGAGAGGTAATTTGTCCTAGCAATATAAGTTCAAAGTTCATTTATTTATCCAGTACATCATCTTGAGAAGCTGTATTTAAGGTCTTGCCTAATCCGAATGACCCATTCTCTGATTGTGTTAAAATGGATGAGGCTGAAATGGAAAAATTGCATGACGATGGAGTATATCGTAAGCGATTCGATCTTGAACATTTGGACGACAACGTTATCAAAGAGCTCACGGTGGCTATCTGCTTGCTTCGCTTGTTTTGTTAAATTGCTCTCAAAAGCTATCGTTCAGAAGCAGGAGAGCAACAAGCCAGCAACGAAAGCTACCCTTGTGAGACGTTGTAACTACTTATCTGAGAAAATACTTTCTGCTTTAAAACCGTCTACCTCCAGTTCGGATGCCACCGATTCTCCATCGAAGCTGTCAGGCTTCGGTGTATTAAATGTGAGAAGATTTTTTTCATTTATCATTTTACTGCTTGTTTGTATTTTTTTAATGATTGAAACTATTATACTACTATTTGTTCCAGAGAATAATTGAAGAAGAGGAAAGTAGACTGGAATCAAGTGAATTGATGGATCAAACTGGCCAACAGGAGTGTCAAAATCTTTGCATCAAAGCTGATCAGGAAGGCATCAACGTTGGTTTAGTGGTTTTCATCGAATTCATTTTCTCTTTTCCCACACTCAAGCATACATAGTGAATTCTCCGATCAGAATTATTCGCCTTTGAACACAAATACACTTTTAAGGTTAAAACTAATTAAACGAATAGCTTTTAAAGCGTGAGCTTTTTAGATCAATTTATCAGTGCAGAAATACATCCTATGTTGTCATTGCTTTGAATGAGACCTAAAATCGCTCTTTCCTTGCGCATCATACACGCTTTTATGATCATGAACATAGTTGTACTTAAAGGATATATTGATCGACTGCTTTCCAGCGGAGATTTCCACCTGAAGAAGCTGCCAATTTCAAGGATATTGTGATTACTCTTCTGGAAAGCTCTTCAGATGAGGTGGGTCAACTTTTTGGTCGAAATTTGGGACGAGGTTGCTGCATGCCGTTGAGCTTGGCGCATCGGGACTGTGTCGCCACGACACCAGCGTTTTCTTTAATCTCTAGAGGCAAGCACACAGACAAAGCGAGATTAGAAGGGATACTTCCCTCGCTTCATCGAAGTGTGGCTTTTCTCTTTCCAACGTTGAATCCAAGCCTAATTTGACGTCCATCCCTCAATAGTATGCAGTGGCCTTTACCCAGCAACCTGCTTCATGATTCTATTCTTGAATTACTTCAGGATATCTTGATACCCGAAGATGAAGAGTTGGCCAATTTTGAGGTCATGGATGGTGATTTGGTACGATTTCAAAGTTTTTCGTTCTTTTTTGCTGAATGTTCTAATGTCGCGGCTCGGTGTGCGACTCAAAACTATAAATTTGTGAGAGTACATGGTAAAAGGAACATTTGTTATCAAAGGGCTATCGTGCCACGTGACAGACCTTGCTCGTACAATGCAGAATGCACTCTCTACATCACTGTAACCTTGCATCTTTTCGAAGGAGTATCAAATTGAATACGTGATGTGAGGGAGAGCTGATGTAGTTGTCCTCATGTTTTGCAAAAAAAAAAAGGTGCTCATACCTCTAGTTACGAGAATGTTTCTCATAGCTACTCAGAACTACATTTAAAGATTACTCCATGAATTTTTATTTGTTCTAACAAAGAGGTACTTTGCAGGAAAACAGCTAATTTGCTGAGTAATTTTCTTTTTCATTTTATGGCTCAAATATCAGATCTGTTCCATACTGAGCCCATCAAACAGTTGGTTTTAGAATGACGCTGATCAAGAGTATGCAGAAAAAGGTTGTGGTGATCCAGGTGATTGGGGACTATCGCCTGCTCAGCTTAATGAGCTACGAGCTATTCATGACGCCGTCGCCGAACTTTTAAAACACTTCTGGATGTGCTTTCCACCTGTCACACCTGAACTGGAGGAGAAGGTAAGGTGGATGCCAAGTAAGCGAACGAGTCAAGATGAGGTCATGAATATTTGTAGGGCTAAACCATGGAAGCGTTGGTAGGAAACAGTGCGTTTAGGACGAAGAAAACAAAAACTGCAGAGCATTCAAAATTTGGGGTTTCCTAATGCCAGTTCATTTTTGGTGTTGTACCAAGTATGCGGAGGGGATCATTTTCTGTGCTTTTGTCGATGAGATTTCTTCCGAAGATTTCGAAGTGATAAGGAAACTATCTTGAGAACAAATCAATCAAAACTGCTTTTCCCAAGGCGACCTTATTGTCCTTAATCCAACATCCTTCATTTTCCAAGCGCCACAGTTTCCTCCTGCTGTCATTGCTACAAAAAACAATCTCATCGTGACTTTCGTCCTTGAATGTTGGGCTTTTCCGTACTAGTGCCAGATTAAGTCAACTGTTTTTCAGCTGCAGCGAATGATTCGTACTCTTCAAACTTATGAAAGCAACCAATTACGTGATGCTGAGCGCCAGTTTGGGAAACAAAATGTTTGTTTTGTACATGAACAAGTTGCAAAGATTGACTTTTTAGAACATTTTGCGCCATTCTACTTCCAATGAAGTGGCCTGTTTTCAGGTTCAACACTGCTATAATATGCTTGCAAGGGCCCACGCTCGTTTCAAGGTGTATAAACAGAGGAAGTCTGCCCGCGGCCAATAACTGTCCTTTTTTGTCTTTGCCGGTGTTTTCAATTTTACCTGTGAACGATCTCTAGGTTTTATTCTTGTTTCTTTCTGAATGTATAGATTTAGAGATCAATGAATTTTTACAGCTTTTTTGCTTGTGCTTTTTCTTTACCAGAGTTATCCCCTAACTACTTCATTTCTATGCACTCTGAAGCTGTTAAAACTGGCATATACGTTGCGTATAAATGTAATAGGAATTTTTTGTCTCTTCAGTAAATGACCTTATGAGGCGGATATTTACGGCTGCTAAGCTTTCAAGAGATTTTCTTGGAGTGATCAAGGATACTGCCAAGTGTGCTGGTGTGCGATGTCTATCGAGTTCGCACAGGCCGGAATTGGATTTCGATTACCTTTTGAATGATGCCAATTTAGATGAAATTAGAAAGAATATCGCGTGAGTTTTTCATCTCTTCTTTTTTCTTCGACTCTTTATCTCTCTGCTGTACAGCTTGCCTCTTGACAACCTCGAGTATATACGCAATTTGACCTTTCTCGAATTGATAGCAGCTTTCCTTTACCCATTACCTGAAATCGGAAAACGACACAAATTAAGCAATTGTGTGAAGTGAAAATGGAAAACGTTGGGAAAATATTAGGTGGCTGTATCGTTTGTGAACATAGCAAAGTGACCGTTTCCGAAAAAATGAAGGGAAATTTATCCATATGATTAAGATGGAACTCGTTGTTATTCTATAAGTTACGTTCCGAATAGGGCGCAATTTCTAGATTGAGCCATTTCCTGAAGTGTCTTGGAGCTTGGGTTTCGGTGAAGTTTATGGGTGGCTGTATCATTAGTGAGCGCGGTGTAATTTGCTGTACATTAAAGTTGTGTTGTTTATTTCAATCAACGACGAGTTGTTCGAGAATTTTGCAAACTTCAAAAGGCAATCTGTATCGAAAGAGAACTTGATTCTTGCTATCACTTGCTATCACAAGATTGAATCTGTACACTTATGAGCAATGGTTAAGTGAAAGAAAAGGTGTTGGTGACATCGACGCCGTTCGTCGCAAATGGAGTGAACTGGAGCTGTTAATGAGTGCGCCAAAGAAGCCTCTAATCACCGAAACTCAGTTGAAGAAGATGTGGGACGAAGTAAAGCCACAAGAATTTCGTTATTGTGTTAGACTCATTGGCCTGTGTTTTTCAGTTATACTTCGAAGCTTCTCGAATACCGAACATGTGCCATCCAGAAGCTCCTCGGGGAAGTATGGAAAATGCTAAGGTCATTTGAAGTTTCAGACTTTTCTGGTTAACTTGATCTGCCTGCAGTGTGGGCAACTACGAAAGACGAATGCTCGCCGTTTCGGTGTCTGCTACCGTGATCAGTATGAATGCGATATCTTTTTGTAGTACTAGTAGTGCATCATCTCATCTCGCACCTATACTGTATCGTCATCTTATCCCATCTTAAAAATAGCAACGCAGCAACAATAGCTTTCGTAGGTAATGGCGACATGGGGCGAGAAAAGAGAAGGTCCCTGTGTCACAGCTGAAAAACTGATCCAGTCGTGGCGAACATTATATTTTCCCAGTGATGCCTCCGGAGAGAGAAGCTATGCTTTTGTTGGTGAGTATCGTGTTATGAATTTGCTCATGTTATGAATTTGCCATTACTGGCAGTATGCTTCACTAGTTCCCTCCTAGAATGACTTTGGGAGAGCTTTTACAAACATCTCACTCCGACAAATACTTGAAACTGCGCTCGGTCTCGAACTCTGCCTAAAGTTATGGGCCTAACTCAGCACCTCCACGACAGCCACGACCTCAACGATGTAGTTGTCGGCCAAAATGGTTGGCATTTCAGCCACTCAAGTTATCATTTTAATAGGTGCTGTTGCAAATTTGGAAAGGGCGCTGCTCGAATATGTGTTCGATCGCGTGTCCGCTCTCGATTTCAAGCCTGTGTCTGTACCGGATATTCTCTCAAAAGAAATTACTGAAGCATGTGGCGTGATTCAGCGAGAGGAAAAAGACATTCAGGTACCAATAGCATTCTTTATGATTCTTTCAAACATGTTTTTCCGCTTTTTAGTATTCTCTACGAAATGAGGAAGATGTTGCCCTCTCTGGTACAGCCGAAATGGGCATTTCTGCATTGTTGAAGAATCGCATTTTCCAAGAGGAACAGCTTCCGTATCGGCTAGTGGCAATGAGCAGGTAAGGGTTTTTCGAAGACACTTAATTTTGCTATCCTCCCGATATTTTCACCTGCCTCTGCCCCTTCTACTGTTCTAGTCTTTCGATAAAAAGCCTCCTGTCACAAAAAAGTATGGACCTTTCATTTATGAAAAGACTCACGCCATATTTATAGATGCCACGTCATGTCACGTAAAAGCAACCTTTGAATTAGATCCAAAACAACCTCGTAGTCCCCATGTTGAGCGTTGACATTGTAAGAAGATGGTGAGAATTGGCACACAGGCTGGTTAGGATGAGCGCACACGGTCATAGCTACGACGCACGCGGGTCGCTTAGGCTCGTAGTAGAGCGATTGCTTCTGTCGTAATCCCCTACTTGACTTCATGACTGTAGCTAAACAGTTACGGTGGGCACGGGAAGCCGACAGGCCGGTGTATTGCGTGCCTGTCTTTGTCTATTCTGTTTTCAATCAACTGTCAGAAACCCCACAGGTGCAGGGTCCGGCCTGTGTAGCACTTCTTCGATAGGATTAGCTTCTTAAAAAGGAGCTTCTGGAAGAGTCTATAGAATTGACGTACTTTCTCTCAAGGGCCTCTCTTAGTCATGTGGAAGGTCAGTAGTGTGTTCATTTAAAAAAACTCTCTTCCATCGTACTTATTTTTCCAATGAAAGTATCGGCCATTACGCTGTACCATGAGTATCAATGATATATGGGTTTAGCTTCAGCAGTTTAGGTGTTATCGTCCGGAAGTGAGTAATTCAGCCAGTGAGGCGAAGCTCTATCGAGTTCATGAGTTCACAAAGGTTTGTTATTGACATTCTCGGTTGATACGTCCAAAATCGCCGTACTGTTGCTTAGGTCGAAATGTATGTAGTGTGCGCTCCGGAGCAAAGTCAGCAAGAATTGGATTATTTGGTAGATGTTCAAAAGGGCACGTTTGAGTCTTTGGGTTTACACTGCAGGTATTTTCTTTACTACGCATTCTTGTACTGCCAGAATTAAAGGCAGTGTTAACAAAAAAGTTAGGGTACCTTTTTTTTGACGGGAATTGACAGAACTACTCCAGAGTAAAGCGATAACAACGAAAAAAGCGCGAAAAACGATGAACAGAAAGAATTACGAAGGATCAAAAAAAGAGGTGGAAAGGGGGTTGGACGAGTTTCACATTGAGAAAACGTCGGTTAGAGAGGGTTCAGGCAAATTGGCAAGTTGCCAGTGACGGCAAATTGGCAATTTGCCAGAGACGCAATGCAATAGCAGGCAACACATTGCGTCTCTGGCAATTTGCCAATATGCAATTCAAGGTGAGTCCTGACGCGATTACATGACATTGTGCCGTCTCGACACTCGTCTAACGTGACACCGATCAAGGGGCGGAGCGCGACCGTGGATATCTGTCCGGCCCCTGATTGTGCCCTATCCAGCCGTTTTCCGACCTCACTCCTGCACAAATGGTATCAGAGGGGGCGTCGAATTCAAACTATGTGCGAATGTCCGAAACAATTTTTTTGTTAACACTGCCTTTAAGAGCCAGTGACCATTTAAGACAAATGGATATGCCAAGCGAGGAGTTGGGAGCACCAGCAGCTCGAAAAGTGGATATCGAGGCGTGGATGCCTGGACGACAGCTTTTTGGAGAAATATCGTCTGCCAGTAATTGCACAGATTACCAAGCAAGAAGGTTAGGTCAGTGGTAATTACGAGCCTTAATTGTTAAATTTTAAAAAGACTCATATCTTGTATGCTGAGCTTTTGCGTTTCCAGTATACCTCGAATGATGCAAGCTCAAAGTTGTTTCTATTTTGGTACTATGGGTCCCAAATAAAGTCGAAATATATCCCATTAGTCGCAACCTCATCACAACTTGCTATAAGCTCTTTTTTATGGATAAGGAAATCTGCTGACACTGTTGGAGCTTTACAAAATTGCTCCCACTCCGATAGCATCGGACAGCAAGGATCGGTTCTCAACGTTGCTTTTTAGGGATACGCTATATCAATAAGGCAGGAGAAAAGAAATTTGTTCACACCTGCAACGGTACCGCAGTAGCCTCAACAAGGACCCTCATCAGTATATTGGAAACGTTCCAGACGGTTAACCTGTCTTGCTCTTTTAATCTACAGTCCTATAATTTGATAATCTGTGCATTTCAGGAGCGAAAAAGCTTAGAAATGCTTCCGGAGGTGCTCAGGAACCGACTAAAGACAGTGCGACCACCTCCATTGAAGTTTCAATTAGCAAAGCCTTTAGCATAGTATAAATTATAGTTTTTGAAATATAAATCTCGTATCGCAAGTTAACCGTTATCATTTGTAGGCAGAGACAGCAAGGTTTGAGAAACCTGATGGGTTATTGCAGGTCATTCACTTATGACCAGCTTTTTTTCCGCGGTTTACTTACAATTAGATTGCTCTGCCGATTACTGCAAATCGGCCTCCACAACGATTTTTTGATGGTCCAGTTCCATTCCTGCAAATCCTCTGTTCATATGGGACTTGCTGCGAAGGCTGTTAATCCTCCTTAAACGTCCTTGCTGCGACTGATGTTCCAGGGAAGGTCTTCCGCCATAAAGGGGTATTTAGCAAAAGACCCGGAAGAGTAACGGGCCTAAACTGTTACTTTGGCGCCCACAGTGGGCAGTCGCTGGAATTAGGAGTAAAAAGGGATGAGTTTGTTTTCGGGCTCAGCATAGCCGAAGTGACTCAGCTGCCTTCGGGATGGTGCGGAAAAAACTACATACATGCAACTGAGAATTTATAACTTGGACTCGATCAGAGTTGGTCTAAGGAACATAACGCTCAATATTGATCGATTTGCTCCTTTTATTTGAATCAGAGGTCGACCATGGCGATCTTTCCAGTGTGAATGAGGTATTGATCGGAGCTCGAAGAAGCCGAAAGGAGTGTTCAGCTGAAATTTGCAAATCATTTGCTGATAACTAACTAGCACTGTTTGAGTCCTTCAACTAGGTAGAGGTGTTCGCAGAAGCTGCTGTGTTCGAGTGTCACAAAAATGCTGTTCATGGGGAGAGTGGCTTATACATTATGAACGTCAAGGTTAGCTTGCAAAATTGCTCTTTTTCCTAGCAGGGTCTGGCAGACATCAAAAGGAGCCTGGTGGACGATGAGAATGGGGGACACGACAACTTGTAAACTACAATGTAGTGCTTTGCTAAAGGCCCATCGCTTTCAATTCTGTTTCGCCTAATTGTAGCATACCGTTTTTCTGGAGTTAATGGTAGTTCTAATGAGCTTTCAAATAAATTAATTCCTTTGAGGAATATGAGCTTTCTGGGCACTTCCAGAAAATTTCGGGGATAGTAAGCATTTGACCCACTAGTTTCGAGAGCATAAGGGCTACCACTTTCATTCGCGCAACTATATTGTTTCTGAAAAGGTAGCACTGAGGAATTGGAGTTAGTCGTTTCTGAAGACTGCGAATATCATGTGCCACTGGTTTTTTTTTTTTTTTGAGCAAAACTTATTGCTACAAGCATCCTAGAGCGGAAAGAAAATATCCGAGAAGGGACAGGCATCTTTTCGGTTTTTTTATACCAAAATTCCCTAACCACATCAAATATCTTTAAAACATTACCGATGAGGATCAACAACCTTTTCCTTCAAACTTTGAGCACGTAAATGATGCTTCTTGGTCAGAATTCAAGATTCACTAATAGAAGTTGTTGACTGAAAGCAATTTGTTATCGAAAAGTGGAATGCACGGAATACGGTAGATGAGCCACTTGGAACTATCTGAGCCTAGAGATTTTTTGCAACGTTTAGGGAAGTTCCGGTGCGCCTTTTATGCTGCATGTACACTTGTGATAGTTTTGAAGGTTCACCTCGGCCAGATCTTGAGATTTATCGGTGAAGGTGGTAGCTGTCACTATCTCCTCCGTGTCTAGCAACCCATGGGGTCCTTTACAACAACACCAAATTTAGGGAAGATGTTCGCGTCATCTCGAAGTCTATTATCTCCTAGACAAAAGGGATCAAACAATAGTTGAGTGTTAAATGGTGAAAAGAAACGTAAGTAAGACCGATAATTTCAGTCGCTACAAACACGCTAATCCCTTGGCCTCTCCATGGAAGATGGTGGTTGCAATTGGTGTTGTCCTTTTGGAGGCACAGTTCACAATGAAAAGGGTTCATTAGGTCACCCACTAGGATGAATGTATGGTTACTCCCGTATACCATATGAGGAAGCTGTCACCCACTAGGATGTCAGATTGGACATCGGCCCACATACAGTACCGTTCAAAAAGAAACCACCTCGAACCTTTTTTGCCATAACTCAACTCGAACTCAATGTTTTTGACTGATTTTTTGATATGTTGTCAACAGTGATGATATTTAATGTCTCAATCCTAGAATTCACAAAAATCCTTTTTATTTCGTTTAAGAGGCCACTTTTCAATTTTTTTTTCTGAGTAGGACAAAATTACATCACTTTCAATAATTCGAAATAAATCACTTGACTTGAACGCTATCATTATAAGATTAAAACCTAATTAACTACTAGTCTAATACTTTGTAGTGAAGCTGTTGGCAACGATGACGGCTAGGCACTTGCGGGGCATTGATTCGAACAACTTGTCGATCAGGCACTCATCGATTTCCTTCCATTCTTCTTCAAATAAGCCAAACTTCTGAGCAGCATTTGTGACCGATTCATCGGCTATGCTTTTCTTGAGTTCGTACCACGAGGGTCCACTGATGTTTAGGTCAGGGGATTGGCTGGGTGAGTCAAGGCATCGAATTTCCCGATGAGTCAACCACTCGCGCGCCCCTTCTAGATCTGTGTCCCGGGTCG